AAAAAGAAAGGTCTTCCAATCTTCCACGTGGAAGAGGAGCCGGAGAGTCTCTGACTGGCATTGCACACCATGGCAGTACCCCTTCCGCAGCAGTCCATGTGGTTGGGCCTGCCATCCTGGGAAGGTTGGGGGTGCCAGTGCACATGGCGCCCGTGGGTCACAGCATAGCACAGGTCATGGTCACAACCTAGCATGGAGACAGGTGCCAGAAGGAGACAAGTCAGTGTCAAAAGGCACATGAGCAGGCAGAAGGCAGACCGCACACAGAAGACCAAAAGTAAGAGACACAGCGCAGGTCAGGAGGTTCCCAGAGGGGGGCCGTGGGGAGCCGGCTGCAGGGACAGGAGTTAAACCCAGAAAGGGCAGGTGCTACCAGGGAGCATGAGGAGGAAGACAGGGTTAGAAGTGGGGACTCCAGACAAATGGGGAGGAAGCCCTGGCACAGTCAGAGCGCTGCCCCACCCCCTGCCCAGGCTGAATGGGGGTCCAGGACACCAGCCACACCAACACACTGACCCCCACCTCCAGTGTCTGCCTCTTGTACGCAACAGAGCTAACAAGGAAGACAGGGACAGAAGACCCCAGAGAATACCCTCCCCCCAAAGTGCCCGTAGCTGCCTTAGTCTCAAGGCAGCTGTCACTTGAGAGCTTATAGGTGTGGAGCACTGTGCAGCCTACAGACAGCACCCCTCCAGCCTCCGCTGCGCCTTCTGAGATAAGCACAATCCTCTGCCTGACCCCAGGGCCCTGTCACCATGGGCCACCCAGCCACATTGCCCAGTGGTGGTACAGCTGTCTTGTGTCAGGACTCTGATGTTCCCTAGCGATACAGTTCTCGGGACATAGCCCTGGAGAAGCAGCAGTGCCCACCCTTTCCTCTGCTGCTTACAGACGAAGGGACAGTGGCCAGGGGAGGAGGTCGCTTCTCTGCAGATACTTCCCAGAGTATGGCAGGAACCATTTGGTTGCTTAAAACAAAAACAAAAAAGAAAAAGAAAAACACTTGACAGGCCCATCTTCACACAGCTTGAAGTCAAAATGCAGGCCGTTGTTTTGCCTTTTTTTTGTATTGGAGTTCAAACTCAGGGCCTTGCGTGCACTTATGCCACTGAGCTATCTCCCCAGCCCAGCTTTGAGTTTTTGAGACAAGGTATCACTCCATAATTCAGGCTGGCTTTGAACTCACCTTGTAGCCCAGGGTGGCCTCAAACTCACAATGATCCTTTTCTCTAGAATGCTGGCGTGACAGATGTGCACCACCACACCCAGTTCTTTGTTGTTAATCATATTTATCTTACCAGCATCAAGAAATATATTAAGAGAGGTTGGGGAGATGGCTCAGTAGAATAAGTGCTTCCCTGGCAAGCTCAAGGGCCTGAGTTCAATCCCTGGTTCCGCCAAAAGAGAGAGAGAGAGAGAGAGAGAGAGAGAGAGAGAGAGAGAGAGAGAGAGAGAGAGAAATTAAGTGTACAGGATCCATCTGTGTTTTGTGGGTAGCTACACTGACAGCTGATTTTGTTCTAGTTTACTAGTTTTAGAAAATGTGAATTTGGCTCTTATGAAAATTATAAAACAAATGTGGACTGTTGTGGATCCAATCGCCTGGTAATGGACCAGCTGAAGTCCTGAGTCCCAGGTGCCTTGCCCTGGCCCATGTTTGTCTCTGTCAGAACCAGGCTTGCCTAGGTTTCCTAGACATGGAGAATAGGGCAGTTTCTGCACTGTTCTGCCATTAGAAAGCCTTTCACTAGGGTCTTAAGAGCGGCTATTTTTTGTGGGAAAGTCTGATTGGACATCGGGGTTAGTGGATAGGGGCAATTCCTGAGGCTTCGGTCCTGTCCCCGTGAGTGGGCAGGGCTGATGGCTGGGCACCTCCTGTGGTATCTGATTTTCCTCTTCCATGGCAGTTATACAAATAAAGCAGTGGAAAGAGAAGCTAAGAAAGCCTCTTGGTTTATTTTCTTTTCCTGGACTTGTATTACTGGATAACAGGAAGAGTTATTTAAAGGCCCAAGCCATCCTACCTTTTACTTTAAGTCTTTTTTATTATTATTATTTTTATTTTGAGGTGGCAAGGTAACTCAGTGGACTAAATGCCTGCTTAGGCAAGCACAGGGACCAGGGCTCGATCCCCAACACCACATGCTGCACTGGCCCTGCCCCCCAGGTACACTGAGCTGGTCACCAAGACTGGGCATGGTGGCACACACCTGTCATCCCAGCGCTGGGGAGGCTGAAAATAGGATCACTACGAGTCCTAGCTGCATAGTGAGACCCTATACCAAATACATTTAAAAAAAAAAAAAAAAAAAAAGTTAAATTTTGGACAGGATCTTACTAAGTTGCCCAGGCAAACATGGAGGCCTGCTGCACAGCCTCTCAGTGCTAGCATCTCAGGTGCACCCCTACCCCCAGCTCCACACAGGCCTGCAGCCGTAGGTCCCCTTTTCCTAACTGGTGCACTCTCTTGCCCACTGGGCTGCTGGGAGCCTCAACTGGCAGGGGCCTGGCTCACAACGTACCTTAGGATCCTTTGCATATTGAGCGCTCGCTGTGGGTCAGACTCCCTGCAAACCTCACCTTCGGGGTCGGAGAGAGGAGGGCAGACAGAGGTGGCCCAGACCTGTGAGCCGGAAGACCTGGGAGTTGGCTGGAAAGAGCCACATCTTTCTCTGCAGTAGAGCTATGTTTTTAGGAAATAATAACTGGCTCCTCCCTCGTTCTTCACATCAAAGCTGTGCTCCAGGGGGACACACCTGGGTCTGTTTGTCTTTCTTTCCACTGCCTTGAGGCCCATCTGTACGGTGGCAGGACATGGGCGCTTTCCTCCAGTGGGCACCCTCGGCTAGCTGAAGTCCAGGCTCGGTTAGAACACAGGCTCTCCCCGGGACAGCAGCAGCATCTGGAAAGGGTGACGTCCACGTCTGGAAAGGGAGGATGTCCACCAGAGTGTGTGGAGTTGAATATGCAGCTCTGAGGGCAAGAAGACTGCAGACAAGAGGAGTTACAGCAGGGCCGCACTTTGGCGTGGCTAGAGAAAGAACCCAGTCTGTGACGTCTGTGGAGGGTAGCAGAGAGCACGGACAGTCACCAGGTTGGTGACAGAAGCTGCGCTAAGTCAGGGCGAAGAGTGACTCCTGTGGGCTTCAGGGGCATTGAAAGCCCCCTGGCGGATGTGGAGGCGGCAAGGGCGGCAGGACAGCGAGGGCAGGGAGGGCCTGGGCCTGGGCGGGCAGGGAGGGCCCGGGCCTGGGCGGGCAGGGAGGGCCCGGGCCTGGGCGGGCAGGGAGGGCCCGGGCCTGGGCGGGCAGGGAGGGCCTGGGCCTGGGCAGGCTCACCCCCGGAGCTCAGCGCCTGCAGCTGAGTCAGCTGCACCTCGTCTTTGGCTGCTTCCTGGTCCCTACCCTCGCAGAGGCCAGAGGTAAATTGTGCCTTCCTAACTCAGCCAGGGACAGTGTGGCCCTGGCTGTGTGGCCTGGGCACCTCAGCAAATGTCCCAGTGGTCTTCACACCCACTCCGCTCCAGTACCTAACCCCCAGGGGCTTCCTTGAGGCCTCTGTCGGCCTCCCACTCCACCACACTTAGGCCCTCCTTCATTGGGCTCCGCCTGCCCCGCACTGACCCCCACAGCTGTCTCAATTCCTCCCTTCCCTTCCAACAAGAGGCAGCGCTCACCTCTTACTTATTTTCCATCTGCCAAGAGCAGGCCTGCAGCACATCTTTATTGTCTCTGAAATCTGCTGCGAGGCACTGAGAACAGTGTTCAGTTTAGGTGACAGCTTAGGAGGAAAGTGGCACAAAAAGAGTCAGGGGCTGCCAGGAGAACAGCCACGGGGCCCAAAGAAGTGATAGGGCAGGAAGGCGGAAGAAGCCTGGAGATGGAGGGGAGAGGGAACAGCGGGAGAGCTGTGACTGACAGGGACTTCAGTGTCGCCGGTCCGATAGCAGCCGCGCCTGACGACTTCCCGATACCCCTCCTGAATGAGACCACTCTTTCCCCACATTCCCCCCCTGCCTGGAAAGCCTCACAATCATGGCCTTGTCCTCACAGGCTCTGTGGGCTGCTGACAGAAGAGCAGTCTCTACTCTGGGCATGGGCAGGCAGGCCACACGGGTCACAGCTCTGTGACCTATGGGGACATGCATCCCTCCCCTCAGCATCATGCTTCCTCTGTAAGGTAGGAATAAGCACCCTGTGCAGGCTTCACCCTCTGTCTGAGCTGCTGTGAAGATAGAGGAAGTAGGACCATAAACTGATGTGCAGCCCCGTGCAAAGCTGTCAGGCTGTGCCGACCATGAAGGTCTTGGCGTCTTTCTGTGGAATTGTGTTCTGTGGACTTCCCAGACGGTGCGGCCACATCTCCTGTTTCTCTGTGCTGTTTTCAGGAGAGTGACTGTTTCCGTCTTTGCAGAGGTGCTCTGAAGCTCAGACAGCTGACCCTCGACGGGGCGGGGGGGACACAGTCCCCAAGAAAGGTGTGAGACAGCGATGGCCCTCCCCTTCCAGAAAGAGCTGGAGAAATATAAGAACCTCGACGAGGACGAGCTCCTTGGCAAGCTCTCTGCGGAGGAGCTGAAGCAGCTGGAAAATGTTCTCGATGACCTAGATCCTGAGGTTGGTGTGCAGAGTGCGTGCAGGCAGTCACGGTGGCGCGAGATGACAGTGACATGGTCAGGGGCCTGGCCAGCCAGCCGACCGCGGACTCCCTGCAGACGCAGGCCGGGGCTCCCTACGGCTGGGGTCGCTCACTTTCACAAGCTCATGGAGAGCCTCACAGGCCCTATAGCTGAAAGGCCAGTGTGTTTCTCCAAAACCAGTTTGATGAAAATGAACAAAAATACCTCCCACTGGCTGAGGCAGGAGGAACCTGATGTAGAGAGAAAAGAAGGCAAGAGATGTGACCTTACAGGGGCCTTCGGTCGCCCCACACTGCTTGCCACAGAAGCCCTCCAGGAAAATTGTATTATTTCTGTGTTTCAGATGAGGAGACAGCCTTGGAGAAGAATCCACATAAATCCTCCAAGCATAAGAGGCAGCATTTTAGGCAGCCTGACGCCCCAAATGCTGATTTTTAGAAAATATCTCATTTCTTACAAATGCCTCAGTAACTTGAAGTCTTTGACAGCCCGGAGTGGCTGGGTTACGGTGACTGAGAACCCGATAGCTGGAATGTAAGCAGGGCTGGCCGCGCGCTTGGGTGTTCTGCAGAGCTAAGCGGCGTGCTCCGAGGCTTGTTCAGCGGGTGCTTTTCTCCTTCCTGCTGGTGTCGTCCTTGACTGAGAAGCATTCAGAGTCGTGCTTCCACTGGAAAGATGTAACTGAAATGGAGCTTTTTATATGGCATTCTGCTATGCCACGTACTTTAGGGTTCATATTTACTTATAAAAAATACAAGTATCCTGTTTTCTCTTTTTAAATCAAGGACGGACTCTCAAAGCTTACTGGAGCAGAGGTCCATGTCTCCCATGGGACCCGCCTGCCTACTTCTGCAGGAGGCAGTTAGCGTGGGGCTCCTTTCTGGAGTCCCCCCTGACTGCCAGGAGCACTTTGGGCCCTCACCTGCCAAACCTAAGTGCAGTTACAAAGAGAGAGGCCTTTGGCCACCTTGTGGAAGTTCTGCTCGCCGAGGAGCTCACTGGGAGCCTCCTTTCAGCAGGGGATAAGGGACATGCAGGGTGTCAGAGCTGCCTGGCCTGCACAGAGGCCCCTCTGCCTGATCCCCGCTTCAGGCAGACTGCAGACAGGGAACACGTCCTTCGTGCTCACACCTCTGTCCCCACAGAGCGCCACACTGCCTGCTGGGCTCCGGCAGAAAGACCAGACGCAGAAGGCAGCCACCGGTCCCTTCGACCGCGAGCACCTCCTCTCGTACCTGGAGAAGGAGGCTCTGGAGCAGAAGGACAGGGAGGACTTTGTGCCCTTCACCGGAGAGAAGAAAGGTGAGGACCCCAGGCGGCACCCCAAGAGGTCACTGTGCTGGGCCTCCCTGGAGGTTTCAGGGGGGACTGTGCCCAGAAATGGGTTTCCAAGCGTCACATTTTCAAGCCGTGGTGGTGTACCTAGGGTAAGCATGCCACTGCTGTTTGTTGTCACTGAAAGCCCAGAAAGAGTCACCTTCACGGGCCATAGCCTGTCCAGCAGCAAGCGTGGCCCAAGGTAGAGCCTGGCCTAGCTGAGGACTGCCTGGGTGGGCTGCTCTGTGGGTTGTGAGGGCGCTGTGCGTGGGATTGGCAGGGGACAGGAGAGACGGGGGGAATTCGGTGTGCTCTCTACTTCCTTTGGCTGGGAACCTAACCTGCTATGAAAAGCAAAGCCTGCTCATTCAGAAAATCAGAAGAGTGGCTGAGTACAGGACTGGGCAGGAGTCCTGGGGGAAGCGGGGAGCAGTCCTGGGCCTAGCTCCCATCTCACACGCCCAAGAGGAGACTCGGAGCATTCGAGGCAGAGTCTTCCGCCCTGAGCAGAGCTTCCTGGACCCTCGCTTTGCCCCAGCCCCTGGCACCACGCTGGCCTCAGGCACCACAGTGGGCAGCCAGCACGCTCTTTCAGTCACTCGGGCCCACTCCGCACAGAACTGAGCGCCAGGGCTGTGACCATGGCCAGGAGCCCTGGGCTGCCTTCAGCCCTTCTCGGCCCAGGCCGTGGAGCGCATGAGGGTTGGGAAGGCGGCAAGGGCCAAGGATGCTGCTCCACGCTTTGGCCAGAACTTGATGGTTGAGCTTGAGCTGGGACCCAGAAACTGTCCGCTCTGGCGCCCAACTCTCTGCCTCCCTTTGGAAGGAGAGTAGCTATCGGTCCCCACCCACACTGGGCATGCTGGCCCTCACCTGTGAGCCCAGCTACTCAGGAGGCTGAGGCAGGAGGATGGCAAGTTCAAGTCTAGCACGGGCAACTTAGCCAGCTGCTCTCTCAAAATAAAAGAGGGCTGGGGATGTAGCCCAGGAAGAGGGTTCAAATCCAGTACTGTAAAAGAAGAAAATCAGTCTGTCAAACTTCCAGTGCTACAAACAGTGACCTGGGCCCACAGATGCTAACAGGGTTTTAAATGACCCCAGGCCAGCCAGAGTCTACTACTTAAAGTACAGAGCAGATCGTGTCACCTCTCACAGTCCTACCCCACAGTCCACACCTTCCCAGACCTGCCGGGCCTCCTGCCTGTCACACTGGGCCCCTGGACACGCAGCCCTGGGCTCCATCCCCTCACTTCCCATCTCAAGACTGGGTGTAGACGTCATCGCCTGGCCTCCTGGCCTCTCTGTCTGAACAGAGTCCCCTTTCTCCCGAGCGCTGGGGTGACTGCCAGGGCGCGACAGCACCACTTGTCTCTTGGCGGGGATTCCCAGTGGGCACACGGGGTGGACCCTGCGCTGCTGAGAACACTGCCGAGAGGTGAAGTTGAGCAGCGGCAAAGTGCATGCAAGCACGACCAGGATCATTTTGAAAATGCAAAGCTGTTTCTTTTTTCTTCTTCTTCTTCTTTTTTTTTTTTTTCCTTTTTCTTTTTGAGATAAGGTTCTTGCTAGGCAGCTCAGGCTGGCCTTGAGCTCACTTTATAGCCCAGGCTGGTCCCAAACTCGCAACGATGCCTCGGCCTTGGCCTCCCCAGTGCTGAGATTACAGGCATGTGCCACCGCACCTGCCTGCAGAGCTGTTTCCGTGGCAGCACAGTGGAAATGACAATGTAAGATCTTCCTTCGCCATCAAGCACCAGGCAGAAGGCTGCGCTCATGTGCTTGGGGCCAATGTCGAGGTGGCTGGACAGTCTTGTAGCAGCGGCGGTGGTGGCTGGACTCCATCAGCCACTGTCCCTAACCTGGCCACTGTTGGGCCACCTGGGCCCTGTGTTTCAGGCCCTCAGACAGTGCAGGAAGGAAGAACTTAGGAACCTTGTCATGAATCCAAAACAAAGACAAGCTGAGCTGGAGTGGGTGTTTCCGGCGGTAGATGCTCTGAAAATGGTGTTTGAGAAAGGCTGGTCCGTCTCCTGGCCAGGTGCTTATCTTCCCCCGTGCTCCTCCATGTCCCCTCCTGGGAGGTGGTGCTGGGACAGAAGAGAGGTGTCTGTCAGCAAGGAGCCCCTGCCAGGGTGCCCAGAGCAGTGTCCTTCTCCCCACTGCAGGTGCCCCCTTCTGCTGGCTCCTGCTCCGTGGTGGAGCTGTTTGGCAATGTGGTTGCCGTCAGGCCACACAGGCTGGCTGGGCTTCGAGGACAGGGAGTCCAGGTCTCAGGCTGCGGCATGGGAGAGGCCCAGCTGAGGAGGGCACAGGACAGGGACCCCTGCCGGGCCCTGATGGGGGCACAGGTGCCACCATTTCCCATTGTAAGGACCATGGGCTCAGATTTCTGGGTGGCGGGGCACAGGACTCATCTTCAAGTGCTCCAGCCTCTGACGGTGGGTTCCTGGCACAGGCTGCACCCTGATACTCAGGAACCTCGATGGGTGCCAGCCGCGTTCTTGGTCCAGGTCGCCACGGCCAGAGCCGCGTTGCAGTGCTGGTGCCCACCGCCCCTGCCCCCGTAAAGCTCAGCATCCCGTGTTTCTTCCCCTGATTTAAGGGAGAGTCTTCATCCCCAAGGAAAAGCCTGTGGAAACTCGACAAGAAGAAAAGGTGACCCTGGACCCAGAGCTGGAGGAAGCCTTGGCCAGCGCCTCGGACACAGAGCTCTACGACTTGGCAGGTGGGTCCCGGCGCGCCCTGACCCCCACACTTCCCGCCTCTGTGCTGGATCATTCCCGGCTCCGCCGCTCTCAAAGGTTCCACATCCCATGAGCAGGTGCCCTGGGGCCAGCCCTGGAGTTCCTGGGACATCCTGTCCTCCTCTGGGCAGATCCAGGGCAGGACTCGAATGCCCAGGAGATGCCTGAGAAAGGAGGGGGAGAAAAACACCGATCACCCAGATCTGAGTCCCTGCAGGGAAACCATGGAGACAATGCGGATGGACACCACCCTGCTTGCCCTTACGCCGCCTCCACCATGTCAGAGCTCCCGGGAACTCAGGCGCTCAGGAGGTGTAGACAGGAAAGAGCTCGCGCACCGCCAGGCATAGGAGACCCCACGAGTAATTTGTCAGGGTCAGCCCGGGTCTCTATGGCTACACCTCCCAAGCTGGTCACGGGCCGGAGGAAACTGGAAGCCTGCTGGTCTAGAGATCTGGTTCTTTAAGTATACAAGGCAGCAGCAGATCCAGTCGTAGAAAAAGCATCAAACAAAAATTAAAACTTGGGCTGGGTGTGCACCTGTGATCCCAGCAACCAGGAAGGCTGAGGCAGAACGGAAAGCTTGTGCCCAGGAGTTCAGGGCCAGTGCAGGCAACACAGCGAGTCTTCAGATGTCAGAAACTAGAAAGGAAAGCTGGGCACGGTTCTGCACACCTGTGATCCCAGTTAGCCTGGGTGGAGCCAACAATCTTAGGCTTCTCTGATTCACACAGTGGAGACTTCCCCAGCTGGCCCTGCCCTGCCGGTGCTGCATGGTGCTGCCCCCTGGTGTGAGCTGCAGATATCACAAGACGTTCACGGTTCAGGCACCGACCGCCCTGGGGCCCTTGCCCTAGTCCCACCCTGAGACACTGAGGGCCCGGAAAAGACCAAGCCTTTTAGTACGGAGACACAGGCAGGGAGGCTTAAGTGGAAAAGGACCGTGGCTGTTCTGAAAAAATTACATGCAATCATCTATATAACGCCTTAAAAATTAAGACTCACTTGTAGCGCCCAGCAACCCTGGTGCTAAGGGAAATGGTCAGACCCACGTGCCTAAACTCCGCAGGGCTTCTCTTAGATGAGCAATCCAAGCTGTAAATAACTGAAAGAGGGAAATAAAAGATGACAGGAAACAGGGACATGGGACACTTGCGGGTAGGGAGGGGCCCAAGAGACAGGAGAAGGGAGAAGGGATGGCAGGAAGCAGAATTAGCGTGTCCCCGCACGGCCAACTCCCTGCAGCGCATGGGGCCCTCACCTGCCACACACAGACTGATGAAAATTTTAAAAGTTGGAGGAAAAACACTTTGACTTGTTTTACGGAAAAGAAATCTGAATGGCAGAGTCTCCTAACCAGGGCCTGGGGAGTTTTAAGTCGTAGGGGACAGGACAAGACCATTCCTTCAGGGCCCCGGGGGACTCCACACGTTTCCACAGGGAAGGGCGTGCATAGCTGGCAGGTGGGAAAAGGGCTCATAACGGGCCCCACGCGCCACTGTGTGAGAAAGGGCCTCAGAGCCCACACGGAGAGCTGCTCGGGGGACACGATGAAGGGACAGCTTGAACGTCCCAGCTAACTCTCCTCTGCAATGCCTTTGTCCTCAGCCGTCCTCGGAGTGCACAATTTGCTCAACAACCCCAAGTTTGATGAAGAAACGGCCAACGGCAAAGGTGGCAAGGGGCCTGTGCGCAGTAAGTTGCCGTGGGCCTGGGCTCTGTGCTCTCCCGGGGCGGAAGGCCGAGCGGGGAGGAGCTGGTGGCTCCAGCTTATCCCCGGGCACTGTGACGAGCACCAAGGTGTTCTGCCCAGAACACACACTCTTGGTCGTCTGCTCACCCAGAAGGGAGGATTACCGCTCATGGGTTGCCTGGTCAGCCCCAAAGGCCAACGAAGTCAGCAGTAGCCAAGGTGGAACGTAGGTGCGGCAGCTGGCCACGCCCCTCCCTGGGGGGACGAGGGGCTTCTTGTCTCGCTGGCATACTTGTCCCTGCCCTCATCCAGGGAGGATGAGGGTTCCTGGCACAGCCAGTGCTAGTCCTGAGACCTTGATGTGTGTGCCAGGAACATTCTAGGCTTAGTTAGGTACAGAGGTGAGCCCTGCCCAAGGAACCCACCTGTCCAGGTGCGACTGGGCCTTCCACCAGGCGTCGTGGCACCTGGCGGCCCAGGGCCGGCAAGACTCCCAGAAGATCACCGTAGCTCCTCTCATGAGGTGTGGCCAAAGAGTAGGACAAATGCTTACATTTGCAAACATTTATTACAGTAAAGAAGCACTGGCCATGAGTCCTCCCCGCCCCGCCAGCCCACTCAGGGCACCGTCCTTGCCTCCGCCTGCAGCAGCCCGGAAGCCTCCTTTCCTGAGGGGCTCTAGGTGTGCTGTCCTGGCCTCCTCGACATCCTGAGTGGACTCAAAACATTGCCCTTTTATGGCCACTGTGACTGAGTGGCATGGTGCCGGGTCCAGTGAGTGAGGTGGAGGAGGACGCACCACCGTTTACGGGGGCTGCCCTCCTCTTGGGCAGCACGTGGCGGCAGCAGTCACTGTACGTTTGATCCACCTCGTAAGGACACGTGGGAAGAACTCCAGAGCTGATTTGAAACTGGCAAGGCCCACAGGATGAGTGCGCTCAAAGCAAGGGGGAGGCTGGGAAGGGGACTCGTGACAGTGTGTCTGTTGCTATCATAAATCTTGAATTGAAATAGTTTTTTGATCTGCCGTCACAGGACTTACATTTTACCCTTTAAGCGCGACTTGGAGGCGCTCTCCTCTCTCAGGAGGTGGATTTGTGATTACATCACTGGCCTCTTTTCAAACTGTGACCTCTTTCAGGATCTGTTTACCTCGCTCTTCTCATGACCGCGTGGTGTCCTGTTTCCTGATCATGCTAGAATGTAACAGTTTTCCCTTGCTGAACATTGGTTCATCGTGTTCTGCTGTCATGAGGAACACACCAGGAAATATTCCCAATACATCCTTTAGGTAGTCAGCCTGTTTTTTTTCTTTTTTCTTTTTTCATGTGTTTAGTGCAGGATCTACAGGGTCTTACTACACAGATCGGACTCGTTGTGATCCTCCTGTTTTCAGCCTCCCAAGCGCTGGGATCACAGGCGCATACCACCACGCCCAGTCTCAGTCACTGTCTCAGCATGCCCTGGGGGTGGGGCCGGCACAGCTTGCAGGGGATCGAACCCCAGTCGCTGCGTCTGCCTAAGCAAGTGCTTTAATCCGCTGAGCTATCTGGCTGGCCCAGCCTGGTTCTTCTGCAGGTTGGACTTCTAGATATAGATTTGGTTGGTCATATAGCACATTTTAAATGTTGATAGATGATATCAAATTACTGATGGGTGTGGTGGCCAATGCCTGTAATCCCAGCACTCAGGAGACTAAGGCAGGAGGAAGATTACAGAGTTTGAGGCCAGCCTGGACTACACAGGCAGACTCTGTCTTAAGCAAAAGGATTACTGTCCCAAACGCTTTCATCAGTTTACTGTCCCACCAACAATACATGGAGATACCTCTCCCATCATTGTCGCCAACTCGATCATGTCTTTTACATTTGTTGCTAATGAAATAGTATCTCGGGGCCGGGGAGATGACTCAGTAGAATAAATGCTTCCCTGGCAAGCACGAGGGTCTGAGTTCAATCCCTGGTTCCACAAAAAAAAAAAAGGATAAATAGTATCTCATTTTCCATTTTGGAGCTTAAGTCCTTACTACAGTTTTAGTCTTCTTGAATGCACTGTCTATTTTTAACTGTGCTGCTGGGTTGCAGTGCATGTCAGGTTGTCGCCCTTTGTGTGTTTTCTGTATTCCACACATTTTCTGTCATTGCTTCTGTGACATCTTCCCTTCTTCTCCATCGCTTCCTCAAAACTGGAAACCAGAGAAGGTCAGGTTATGATCAAGAGGCTAGAGGTGCGTCAGCACTTGGAAGATCAGAGCCAGGCGTGGGGCACACGCCTGTCATCCCAGCACTCGGGAGGCTGAGGCAGGAGGATCACTGCTAGCTTGACGCCAGCATGGGCTCCATAGTGAGTTCAAGGCCAACCTGAACTCTATAAGGAGACCCTGTCTCAAAAGAAAACAAACTATAACTCAGTTCTGCCCTGCACCTGTGCCTGCTCACCTGAGCGTAGGCTCGATCCCTGATACAGCAAAACCAAACCAAACAAATAAAGGTAAAATCTGTGTTGCAGATGTGGTGAAAGGCGAGAAGGTCAAGCCGGTATTTGAAGACCCTCCCAACCCCACCAACGTGGAGGCCAGCCTGCAGCAGATGCAGGCCAACGACCCCAGCCTGCAGGAGGTGAACCTCAACAACATCAAGGTACCCACGGTGACAGCGGCCTTCTGCTCAGCCCCTCCACCCGCTGCTGTGGCACCTTCTGCAGCCCTCTCTAGTCACAGATTTTTTTGTTTGTTTGTTTTTTGCTTTTTTTAAATTTTTTTTTTAGTTTATTATTTTTTTTTTTTAATTTTTCAACAAATAATACACTGCATATATTCTTCTTAGTGGTTAATTGCTGTACAAGATGCGGACTTGTGATCCTATTTACAAACTCCATTAGAACAACTCATTCTATTCATTAACAGAATGTAACTATATATCTATCCCAACCACTTTGAATACACAGATACAAAATGGACATTCATCGGTATACCCCATTTTTTCTAAGTTCCGTTATTGAATATTATAGGTGTGTAAACTCAGCAAAATATTCTAAAAGAGTCCAGTAGCCCATAATACCATTGGGTCTTCTGTTTAACTGGCAGTGTCAGAAATTATTGACCTGAGTCCCCCACAGCTCAACTTAACAGCATGGCTTTATTTCTTATAATTTCGTCTTCATACTTTTCTGCTGGATGGTTAAGACCAAGGTAAAGCAGGACCTGTGCAACAAGAGTTGTAGCTTTTTGGTCTGAGAAGGTCAGTGAAATGCCCTCAGGATTTGTCCTGAGATCCTGTACCTCAGATTGTAGAACCTTTATCAGTGCAGCCATGTGGATGAGTCACGGCCAATGCTTGGCCAATGTCTAGTCACAGATTTTGAGGCACCACATCCTGGTCACAGAAGTAGACTTTTAAAAGAGCAGTTTCTAGGATGTTCTGAAAACTAACAGCCAGAGGCCATGTTATTTCATGCAGCTTTGGCCGTCTGGAAAGTGCATGGCTTCGGAATCGCTGAGGATCACAAGGCGAGAGACAGGGCTAGATGGGCCTGGCCACGGCCTGAGGACTCCCGCCCCAGTGGCGCTCGGGTGGCCGTCAGCAGTGTCCCTGGAAGCCCCCACAGCAGCCTCTCGGTGGGCTGCCCACTGTCCTCACACTGAGACCCCGCGAAGTGAGCCTGATGCCCCTTGCATCCTGGTCTCTGAGATCTGAGGTTGTCACATTGCTCTCAGAGGAAGGGGCCGTGTGTGTGCACGCTCACACATGTGCAAACACAGACATCTCTAAGGCTTGTTCTCTGCGTCCTTCTGGGGCAAATCCCTAGCATCCAGTAACATTTACTGAGTACTCGGATGTGCTGTAGCTTTTGCTTGAATCCATCGTCGCACTTAATCTTCATTGAAGGACATCAAGATTTTAAGTTGGTTGGGTCACAAACAAGCCCGTGGTGTGGCCAGGACTCTGTGCCCCCCGCTGGGTCCGTGTCCCTCCCTCCTAGAGCCAGCGCTGTGCTGAGTTCATAAGAGACAACCAAGTAAGGTCCACTCGGCCTGTGAACACTTATGTTAGGAGAAAAACACTAGCAGACCACCGCACCCTGGTGGAGGGGCCTGAACACTGCAGCTGGAGGGAAGAAGAGTTGAGCGCTGCCGGGCATCCAGGTTGCTGCCGGGCCGAAGGTGAGGGCTGCCCGGGAGAAAGGGCTGGAGGCAGGAGGCAGGAGGCAGGAGGAGAGCCAGGCTAAGGGTGCGGAGGAGCGGAATGGCACGCAGGCCTGCCTGGCTAGAATCTAGAGAATGGAGGCGGAAGGGGCTGAAGTGGCGTGCACACGTGCTTGCGTGCATGCGTTCGGGTTAGGGAAACCGTGGAGCGCCACTGGGATCAGTTCACCTGTTGGACACTAAGAGGCGCTGTTGCCCCCGGATAGCCCGGCTGCGGCGTGGAGTCCCGGAACCTCTCTGTCCCCAGGGCTGTGTCCTTAGCCAATGAAAAGCTGAACTTCCAAAAAACAAAAGGGAGATGGCTCAGTAGAATAAGCGCTTCCCTGGCAAGAGCAAGGGTCTGAGTTCAATCCCTGGTTCGGGGTGGGGGGGGAGTTGTTGCTCCCTGCTTAGGCAGAACGCAGGGGCGGCCGGGTTCGATCCCCCGCGTGCTGTGCCAGCCCTGCCCACGCACGGGGCATGCTGAGATGGTGACTGACACTGGGCATGGCGGCTCGCACCTGTAATCCCAGCGCTTGGCAGGCTGAAAGCAGGAGAATCAATAGGAGTCCGATCTATGTAGTGAGACAGTGAGACCCTGTAGACCCCGTATCCTCTGTATTAGATGCGCATTAAAAAAAAAAAAAAAAAAAAAAAAAAAAAAAAAAAAAAAAAAAAAAAAAAGGTCGCGGGTCTCGGGGCAAACCTCAATGGTAGAGTGTGCTCAGCATGCGTGAGGCCGGCGCCGCACGACACGCTCCGTTCAGGCCCCCGGCCCCGGTGTCGGCGCAGAACGGTCACTGGATAACCCGATGGATGTCCCCTGTGCTGCAGAACATCCCCATCCCGACCCTGAAGGACTTCGCCAAGGCGCTGGAGAGCAACACGCACGTGAAGAAGTTCAGCCTGGCCGCCACCCGCAGCAACGACCCCGTGGCCATCGTGAGTAGACCCCTGAGACTTCGGGGTCCTGGGTCCCCAGGGCAGCTCAGCCCCACCCACCGCTTGTCTGCAGGGTCAGTTGCCAGAGGCAGGGCATGTCCTAACCCTGCCCTGCTCTTTCCCGAGGGAGAAACAGGATACATTTGGCTGAGTAATGTGCTTGGCCACCCTTTCTGAAATGTTTCCCTCCATAGTAACATTCTGTTAGCAGTATTGGGTAATCTGACCCCAAAATCCTATAGGAGCTTGGTCCATGTAAATATGTTAAATCACATTTTATTCTAATATGAGAAATTTCAG